CTAATAATACCTAGAGTGTACAACGGAAAAACGGGAAAATGGTGCTATTTCACGACATGATTATTCTACTTTGCCTGCGAGTCTAGAATAATTTCCAGAATAAAGAATTCTGCTTAATGCAATATACCATAAAATTATTCTAGACTCGCAGGCAAAGTAGAATAATGTTGTCGTAAAATAGCACTATTTTCCTGTTTTTCCGTTGTACACTCTAGGTATTATTAACTCTTGATGCAATCAGCTGTCGTGTACAGTGCATTAAATCGGACCCCCAGCCGTTAGCGCGAAAAACACCGCCGTTTTACCTCATATGAATTAATTATACGTATCTAGTCTTCACATTTACAGAGCTAAATAATGACACAGCTGGGCATTGATAGCAGTAACAACGTTCCAAAAAGCCTTAAAGGATCTTGGCCTTCCCAACTTCTGTCACTGAAGATAAACGAAATTATTAAGAATCGAACGATTATTGCCCACAGAATATACCACAGTATTAATGCAGGGTTTCTTCTGAGGGAAAATTAGACAACGGAGGTAATGGCCAGTTTGGGGAAAAAACGCGCATAATCGATTCAAAGGGTGTTTGCGCATCTCGAGGACATAGCAAAGCAAGCACCGCAGGAGCTCGCTCAGCTAGGGGGGTCTGGGGAGCGAAATTTTTTTCCCCACTTGAGATCCGGACCCACCATAGATAGTGTTTTGTAATATATGGTTCGTATATATATCGTATATATATATGGTTGGATTATAGTTCGGGTTCGGGTTCGGGTACGGGTTAGGGTTAGGGTTAGGGATAGTGGGTATTCATTTTACATTGTTGCTTCGAGGAAGACGAGTGAATGAAGTGCGCTGATTGGCTGTGGTCCGGAACTCAAGTGGGAAAAAAAATTTCGCGTCCGGGGACATGCTCCCCCAGGAAATATTTAAAAAAATGGTGCAATTTCGTGCATTCTAAGCTATTCTGAACACATTGTATGAGACTCTTGAATCTCTTCAAGTTGTCAAAAGGAACAAATAAACCATGAATATGAAATGATACAAGCATTCACATTAAATAGTAATACCGTCGAAAACGAGGCGAATGCCTGGAGCGTGGCAAAGATCCGGAAGCTTCCGGTTATATTTTTTTCTGTGTATGAATGATCTTATGAATTTGAAGTTCATACATTTGAAAAATACATAATTCAACCAAAGATTTAAAAAAATATTATTAGTTAATTATTTTTAGATGCTCTCATTTGCATTAATAACGCTTTTAAAACAGCATGAAATGCAATTTTATTTCAACGAAAGCACTTTCCTGGTGTAGAATACAAACGAACACCCATGCGTATGCATGCATAGGTATAGCACCCTCAATTCTCTGCTGGAGTCAACATGGCGCCTGTGGCGCTCAAGTACATGACCAATCATCTTCCTATCCTGTGTTTATCTATAGCCCTTAAGCTAAAGTCACACTGGGGCCGGACTGTCCACGGATTACCGCAGATGGGGCAGGATCTCCCCGGACCGTAAAATTTATAATCCGTGGCGATCCGGGTGAAAAAAACCATCATCGGGCAGGATCGGGCCGGACCAGCACGGCAGCGCCACGGATCATCCTGGATTGAGCCCGGATGAAGCCGGCCCCAGCACGGAGTCACTACGGACCGCCCCGGAGTCCGGACCGCCCCGGACCGCCTCGGACCGCCACGGACCTGATCCGGCCTGGTCCGGCCCCGTCCTGGCCCATCCGTGCTCCCATCCGTGTTGGGTCCGGCCTGATCCGTAGTGATTCGTGGCCAACAAAAACGACACGGATGGCCACGGATGGGCCCAGTTCAACACGGTGCCACTACGGACTGTCCCGGACCTACCACGGACGCGCCACGGACCATCAAGGACCACCCCAGACCGGCCCGGACCGTGCAGGACCGTCCAGGACCCAACAAGGATCTCTCCCCGGATCAGTCCGGCAGCGTCCGGCCCGGTCCGGGAGCTTGGTGTGACTTTAGCTTTACCAAGGGCACGTTTGTTTGGGACGAATCCGTCGGATCGCGATCATGTGATCCTGATCCGACCAAACAAACGCAAACTGCACTTTCACCGCGTTCAGCGTTTCGCTGTGACCTATCAACGGGGTTGTCAATAACAAGGAACAAGCTGTGGATTGGCTGAGGCACGCGGCCGCCATTATTGGGAATCCCAATTCGAATCCACCTCTCAGCTAGCAGGTGCGGTTCGGTTGATCGAGATCATGTTGATACCGCATCAACAAAACACGCCCAAGATTCTGGCGTGTTTGACAGCATAGAACTAAATAGAAGTTCTACTCATAGATTCTATGGTGACAGTCATCATCGTAAATTAAATGTACCGCGTTGTGTTTTACGTGTTGAAAGCTTTTATTCGATTTTTAGATACAATAAATGTAGTTTAATTGATAGAAGTAACAGTGAATTTTCGGTCAGCGAGGCGTTGTTTTGACAAACTCTTTGTGTCGCGGCTGAGAGATTTGAGCGCAGGCGCGCTGGTCAATGCAGGGGTTTGGGTTGACACTATTTTACAACGGCAGTAATACAGGAACATTTCCAACGGCGAATGTTAAATTTTTGAACAATCGGCGGTGCGCCACGTGTGGCTCTAATGTAGAAGAAGACCCTGTATATAACTACAGCTTACACTTCTGTGGAATGTCTGATAATGCGAGTATTAATGGGTCAAATGCGCATCCAAACGCTAATTTCTCCAGCTACTAGACTAAGAAGTACTTCGTGTCATGCATAATCACACTACCTTTAGATGACAAAATATATACTTCTAGTTGCTCCCATTTCACTGCGCGTTGCGTGTAAAACCGCACAAGAAAGAGGTGAGAAAATCCCTGCGCCATTCCTGGGCCAACGCCAACTGTTTGCCAAACAAAATCTAGCCTCGAAGATGGTGACGTGCACGGTCACCATGTTTTATCTTGCTGCGCCCCGTAGCGCTGTATCCGCAGCAGCGCTGCATCGGTTGCTTGGGGTTGGGGAAACAACATTGGACAGTTTCAAAAATACCTTTTATAAGACAAACGTGCAGATGAACATGGGAGGAACTAGAGTGTATTATTTGTCATAAGGTAAGTGTGATTATGTCATACGCACGTAAAGATCTGCTAGTCTAGTAACTTGGAACGTAATTAAGAGTTTGGATGCGCATTGTCGAGCCTGTTAATGATACAGCTTACACTTCTGGTGGAATGTCTGATAATGCAGTATTAATGATACAGCTTACACTTCTGGTGGAATGTCTGATAATGCAGTATTAATGATACAGCTTACACTTCTGGTGGAATGTCTGGCACGGAGACCATGGGCTGGCTGGGTTCGGAGTTCCTTCGCTCGGCGAGAAGTTTCCTCACCTTTCTCATGTTCTGTCGGATTGTCTTCACCTTCAATTCACGATGACAGACATATGTCAGCAGAGCGCCATAACAACGTAGCAATTGTCAACTATAGGCAACAGGCACTCATGTAGGCACTCATGTACCGGTACGCACTCTTCTATAGGCACACACGCACGCACGCACGCACGCACGCACGCACGCACGCACACATATTGAGATATAATTCCCCTTTAAGATTTAAGGAATTTTTGGATTGGATAAGGTGTGAAGCTACCCATGTCTCTTTTCTCTGATCCCCATTACCACCCATCCTGGTCATAGCATGACCCCACCAACACAGGGCTATACATATAAAAATCCCATACCACACCATCCTGGCTCATACAATCCCGACCCACTACCCCCTGGTGCATTCGACTCCACCACCATATGACCTTGTCACTTGCCAACCCCCAACATAAACCATATCCCACACAACCCCGCTACCCAACCATTACATGACCTCGTGACTTTACCCTGCCACACCGCAACCTCTTAAAGCCAAGATTTTGAAAATAATTTCTAAGAAGTCTCGTGTTTTCCCCACTTTTATGATACTTACCGTTATTGCTTGAGTAATAGCAACTATCTAAAGTAACGCTAACACATCTTAGAGTTAGAGCCTTTGTACTTGGCTATATTCACCAAAACATGCACGATTAGAATTTCTTGCGAATCTCGACTATTTTGCGATATCGCGCGATATATCTGCCAATTTCAAAATAAAAACGAAGTCTATGCCCTTTTGTTTGAATTAGGTACACTACGGGTGCACTTGTTTTGAAGGCACCATTTGCAAATTAATTGTCGCTACATAATCAAATATGCCCTGGTGTTACGGCATGCTCAATTCTAATTTTCTATGCTATAACAGCATAAATTCTTAGTGTTTTTCAAGTTGGTATGATCAGTAAAATATCTGCTATCATGTGAGACTATATTTCGATGCATTTTTTTCAGATTGTGCTTATTTGAGCAATGATTTCGAAATAAATCCTTTAACTTCGCTACCTCACTACCCCCCACCAGCACGCAACTACGCTAGCCTCCCACGATCAACCTACGTGTCATCACGTCAGCCGACCACAGATGATAAACGCGTCGTTTCTGCTGCGACCGCAGATAATACACGCATTGTTTCTGCTGCGACCGCAGATAATACACGCGTCGTTTCTGGCGCGACCGCAGATGATACACGCGTCGTTTCTGCTGCGACCGCAGATGATACACGCGTCGTTTCTGCCGCGACCGCAGATGATACACGCGCCGTTTCTGGCGCGACCGCAGATGATACACGCATCATTTCTGCCGCGACCGCCACCCCCCGCTCACCTTCTCATCCGACGCCGCCTTCCTCTCGCCTGCCGGCGCCCCTGCGACTGCTGTCGTTGTAGATGGCGTCGCTGAGTCACCCGAATCGCCACCGTCGCCGTCAACGGGCATGTGCGCGTCGCAGAACGCTGTCTTGCGGACGGTGAAGTGCGTGCCGTTGGGCGTGTCCTTTGTGACGGGCTCCATCTTCATGTAGAGCCCCGCCTGCTGCGCGCACGTCACGTGGAACGCTGTATAGCAGTTGCCACGGTGGCACTGAATGCACGCGCCCGCGCCGCGCTGCTTGCAAATGTAGCAGCCGAGCTTCCAGCGCGCCGCCGGGATGCTTGCAACGCTGTCGATCGGCTCGAGGAACACCGTGTTTGCAAATCCGACCTCTGGCACCCACAGCGCGCAGACGACGTGTGCCCAGCGGCCGTCGTCCGTCTGCTTGAACGCGCCGCCCTTATTCGGGCAGAGCACGCAGTCGACGGCGCGCGACGGCGACTGCAGGCAGCGGCGGCACAGCCACTGGCCCTCGGGGATGTAGGGCACGCCATAGCACTCCTGGTGCACGGCGAGGTCACACAGGTCACAGAAGAGAATCACGTTGCTGTTCTGGCATTCACCGTCATCGCAGATGCAGCAGACGGCGTCCTCATCGATGGACGGCACGTCGTGACGGCCGGCGCGCTGGCTCGCAGCATGGCCCTCCTTCTCCAACCGGTCCATGAGCATCTCAAACACCTCCTGCTTGACTGCGCGCAGGCCCGCGCTGCGACGCCGCTCATTCACAATCTCTAGCCACGCGTAGTCCTGTGCAAAACAAGAGAGCATCAGAAAAGAACAAATGGGGAAATGTTAGATGAGGTGGGCAACATTCATCAAAAGATAAGGAAACATCGAAAAAGGTGGGCGACATTTTTAAAAGAAAACAACAAGAGTGCTGTGACGTCGCTAGTTTCAGACACACAGTCCTGCGATCAACATGCAAACAAGAGAACATTAGAACGGGAATTACAATAGGTGAGTAGCAAGTGATAGGTTAAGGAATTTGTCAGTACTTACAGACATTCACAGTTTAAAGTTGCTTAACCTCGCAGCTAAATGCATATATAGACCTACTGTGAGCGCGTCTATGTTGCACAAATTCACTAGAACTCATTTATGTATTGCTACTTTCATAACATTTCTTCTCAAAATCTAAACGGGACACAGTGGAGCGATCGTTAACAGTTCTTTTCTATCATAAAACAAGTTATAATTCATTATTATGTTTATTCAGTACAAAATTGTGAAATTTGTTTAAATCATAATTATCGTTATCTATATTACTTATGCAATCAGGAAACAAATATAGTGTTTTCGTTCCAGGAACTATTTGCGCTAATATAGCGAGGAGAGTTTATGACAGATAAACAGCGGCTACATCCGAGCCCGCCCGTGGTGGTAATGAACCCCGATGGCGACACTTTGGTGCGACAAAAGAGAAGAAGCGATGGTGGAGAAGCACCTGCTCTCGAAGTCGCACCGTGAGAAATCACACCGTGAGAAACGTGTCACTAAGACGCGCGTTTATGATTCTACCCTAATTACTAACAGGCTTAAAAGCCAAGGCTCAAGCCGAGCTAGAGAGAACCTGACTGTCTCCCGACTACTTCTTGTTCACCTTGCTCATCTCTAACGTTTGCCTATACCGCTTGTATCTTGTTCGACTTCTGTCATGTCGGAGAATAAACGCATGTGTGGTACGTTACGACCGTAGTTGCTGTCTTTCTCTGTTGGTTTGCATTATTCCCTTTGCTACACCTGCGCCTAGCCTTAGATCGCCAGTAGACTCATGCCGCTCCCGAATACCTTCGTTACACAGGTGCAGTGACAGGTAGGGCTACTGCTAGCTGTGTGGCATAACAACATTAGACATAATTTTGAAAATCCCAATGTTTGTAGCACTTCTCTGGCTCAATGAGAACATTTCGTGATGCTTGCACACTGCAAGTATGCTCACAGTAGGTCTATATAGGCTTTTTGTTGCGAGGTTTATCCATTTTAATGATAGCTCATCATTTAATCATAATTGTATACACAGTTATATCTTAATGAACTTGTGTCGAGCTTTTAAATGTCAAAATAACCCAGTCACACTTGAATATATCATAGATATATTTATATTCTTCTACTATTGCAAAATATCTGTCAGAATCACCACGCAGTAATGTTGCTACATGGGCTAACATATGTGAAATTACCGCGCTCCGATAAAATATACTAACATGGGGGATTACTCGCGGGTGACGTCCTATCTGTCCTGCCAGGCCGCCGTAACTAGGCGATCTCGTATTTATATATGGTGTACACTGTGCTTGTTTAGCGTGGAGCAAAGTGTGATAGTCAAGATTTCAACATTGACCATTAAAAGAATAATAGGTCCATTGATTATGCAATATTGACGAATGCTAGAGTAACTGGCACCTTGTGTAGTTAATAAGTACATTACCTTATAGCCAAACGCGTATTAGTTTGTCCAATATCACTGCTGGTTACATTGAATTTGAAATCGGTTGTTGATATGTATCAACGTATCATTTACGTTACGTAAATGTCATCCAGGAGTCAAGCTTTTGTAACGTAAACATTTGTTCGGCCCGTATATGTTTTGGACGCCAGATGAAACAGAGGTGTCAGCGGTGTAACCCCAGCCACGGACTAAACATGGAAATAGAGTAAAACACACGTACTAATCATGGACGCACGTGGACAGCCCTGACAAAAAGTTCCTTATCACGAGCATCCATGTTCACGAAATCACTGATGATAGCATTGCGTACGACCGAGCATGCGTGCGAAAATGTCCGGTGCACTATAAATCTGTATCACACCCGCTTCGCCGGCAGCGGTTTGAAACTGTAAACAACTGATTTTTGGACTGCGGACTTCAATTAGACATTTCCTAGTAACCAGCAGTGATATTGGACAAACTAATACTCGTTTGGCTATAAGGTAATGTACTTATTAACTACACAAGATGCCAGTTACTCTAGCATTCGTCAACATTGCATAATCAATGGACCTATTCATCATCATCATCCAAGTTTTGATTATCCAGGCCTGAATTAAACCTCTACCGAAGGTGTGGCCTGTCTGACTTGTCTTCCTCGAAGACGCCCTCTCCACACAGAGCGGTTATGAGGGTCCGTAGGATCCATGCCAAGCTTTGCTCGGTCATTCTTCACCACTTCATCCCATGTCTTCTTTGGTCTGCCTGCTCTCTTCTGCGCAACCACCTCAATCTTGCGCGCTCAGGCGATCCAGCCTGTGCTACGCTCCACATGCCCGAGCCACCGCAACCTATTAAAAAGAAGCACCACGTCCACATCCCGGATGCCCAGCTTCGCGAGAAGGGAGTCAGAGCTGACTTTGTCTTTAGCCTTGACGTTGCAGATCCAGCAAATCATGGCGCGGTCGTTTCGCCGAAGACGGTTTTAATTCCTTTTATTCCTTTAATACATTCAGCTATAACAATTTGAACTGCCTGCAAGGGGGAGGGGTAAAATAAGCATCTAACAGAATTGGAGAGCAGTGATATACTAGGAAGAAGACAACAGCGGTGAAGATATATCAATGAAGATCGTCTATTGAACATGGACTCATTAGTGGCAAAAGGGCTCTACGCTTTCTGTGTTCAGAGTGCTGTTACTAAGATACCCAACTAGCGCTCAAACCTTGGTGAGTGGATACGTGATAACTGGTGCACCTCACTTTGTCGTACCACTAGCACTCAGCATTTGCATGGTGTATTTCATGCAGGGCCGGGGGCGTGAATGTGATAATTGCCAATCAGTGGCTACTGTACTCAGTGTACTGATGCGGAGTCGGTTTGCTGCAGTCGCGTGTATAAATTATCTTTCAGGATTACATTCAAGAATTCGCAACACATGAGACAACATTCCAGTTCACAGGTAATTATATATCTTGCTTTTTTTACCAAAGACAAAGAAACAGCAGGTTTTTGGTGATTTTCAATTAGCTTTACCCATCTTGGCTGCAATATTTATTACTATTATATGTAGATACACTAACGCAACTCTACGTCTGTGTTTGGTTACATAATTGTACAGGCCTATTTTATATATATACAACTACAAGGTAATGTTTACCACTCATCATTTACAAATAACGTACGCGCGAGTGGTTGTATCCCGAGTTATGGTCATCATTTACAAATAACGTATGGGGGAAATTATGTAAACCGGGTTGTCATGAAATGGTGTAATACTGTATTTTGAGTATTATAACAATTCTTATGATTTATTTCAGTTAACACACTCTTCCGTGTGCGTGCCATTGAATTCCGTGTTCAATAGATGATCTTTATTGATGTTTTTACTGCTGTATTCATCCTATGTAGTATCACGACATATAGTACCAATAAATTTAACTAATCACAAGTAACTATAAGAAATGTATCTGGGACTGTATTGGCAATGCACTAATTGCATACTGTTTCATGTATTTTAATTGAGTCAATAACATTCACAATACCAACAAATTGCAATGTGCCGGCACAGTCACACGTCACCTATAGTCACGCTCACCAAATGTAACGTGCAACCCTTGGTGTAACGTGGCCATCGTATACAAAGGTAGCTTCGTAGCCCAGCCAGTACTAAGTGTTGTTTCGTGGTATCAACACACAATGCAATCTCTCTGTCTCTCTCTCTCTCTCTCTCTCGCTCACACACACACCCCCCTCTCTGTCATAACTGCCATTGGACTACATTTTTTCTAAGTGCGTATGCTCTCACACTTGGTTACAAACACGCAGTGAGGCACTACCAACCTAGCCTGATATTCAGCTGTAGGACTCGCACATTGTCGATACTCGCATAACCGGCAAACAACTACAGGATTAGCCTGGCACGTATAACAGTATTAACCACCACAATATATTAGCAATGCGCAAAAGTATAATAAGTTCAGTCATACAAACATCTTGTCGGCTAAAACACTATGCTAGGAACACCTATTTTGACTTGTATGGATTGTGTGCTACCCAGTATTTACACGATGCAAAACGCTTTATACCACGAGAGCAGAATACCTATTGCTCTCAGTTCATATCAACACAGCTGGGCGATTCAGAGCGACTGGAATTACGTCACACGCATCATCGTGACGTCGCCGCTTATAAGCCAAGCATTTTCAGGGAGGTGTTTTGCAGACTTACTTTCCTGTGATTTGTGCTTTACTAATACTGTTTAGACTTAATCAACTTATTACTCTAGTTATCAACTAAAATCATGTATTTGGAAAATTAATTTTTGTAGTTTTTGCTGAAAATCTCGACACAAATTCTTTAATCGCCGATCACATACCTCTAGTGTAACAAAATCACCACTGCTTTTAATGGGATTCTCCAAAGTTGGCAAAGTGCCAGCAGTCACTCTACCCACTCCCCCTTAATTTCTCCTCTTACCTCTTCGTCCATGTCGTATTCAACATCCTCGTCTAGTTCGTCTGCTGACTTCTCTATGAAGCGGATGTAACCTCGCGCTGGACTGCCGAGCTGCTCCTTGTTGTTTTTCCTCGGAGGAGGGGTTTCAGAGGAGGAACCCTCCAGCAGACGGAACGACGGCTCAGGTAGCTTTGTCTCATCGACTTTGCTGCAGCGACATCAGACAGATAAATGATTATAGTGTGACAACGTTTACATGCATACAGTCAAACCTATGTAGTAAGGAGCACACACATGTAAACAACCTTTAACATACAGTCAAACCTATACTGTAAGGAGCACACACATGTAAACAACCTTTAAAATACAGTCAAACCTATATTGTAAGGAGCACACACATGTAAACAACCTTTAACATACAGTCAAACCAACCATATTGTAAGGAGCACACAACATGTAAACAACTCTAACATACAGTCAAACCTTATATTGTAAGGAGCATCACGACATGTAAAACAACCTTTAAAATACAGTCAAACCTATATTGTAAGGAGCACACACATGTAAACAACCTTTAACATACAGTCAAACCTATATTGTAAGGAGCACACACATGTAAACAACCTTTAACATACAGTCAAACCTGTGTAGTAAGGAGCACACACATGTAAACAACTTTAACATACAGTCAAACCTGTGTAGTAAGGAGCACACACATGTAAACAACCTTTAAAATACAGTCAAACCTGTGTAGTAAGGAGCACACACATGTAAACAACCTTTACCATACAGCCAGAGCCAATATGAAATGAATTGCCTGATGCCTTCTAAAATTCATGGGGAGAACCAGCGTTTATATAAAGATAAAAACTAATGGAATAGCAGTAACAGATTTTACCTTGTCATCAGAGCTAAACACAAAAAGATAATTTGCATATTTACCTTGACATTACAAGTACAAGATCCAAAAATGGAAACTAAAGGCAAGGTGTGTGGTCCGATAAAAGATTATCTTATTGGTTAAATACGTATGTAAATAAGGTACATGTTAATAATATATAAGGAGATTAAATTAACCACACAGAGGATACATAAAATCAGACACTAACAGGAATGCATGCAATAAGAATTAAGATGAACTTGGTTAAATATATACATATATATAAAGATAAACATAGTATTGAATACTGTCAATAGAGATGAACTTTTTGATTGTAGGATATACATAAGATACCTATAAATGAGCATAAATACAGCAATCATTTCAGTATTGTAGATCAGTGCATAATAGAGAGGGCAGATGAGAGGGGAATCGAGAGATAGAAAGAGAGAGAGCGAGAGAGAATAAGAAGAAGATAGAGCAAACATAAGATAGAGAGATAAAGAGTGAGAAAGAAAAACAACACAGAAAGGGAGAGAAAAAGAGAGAAGGGGCAGAGAGAGGGGAGAGTGAGAAAGAGCGAAAGATACAGGCAGAGAAAGAGAGAGAGAGAGAGAGAGAGCTGGAGAGAGAGAGAGAAAAAGCGATAGAGACACACACACACACACACACACCTAGCTCTAGTACTATAGCCCGCGTACAGTTGCTGCAGGGCTATAGAACATTTTATGCCAGTTTTCCTAACTGCACCTGCTCCCCAATGCTTCCACGACTGTAGACAATGTAGACAAAACACATGGGCAGCTATGATGCAGCTATTACATTTCGGTG